CGGCGCACGGTAGGGAGGAAAGTGGATTTTTAGCGTGTTTATCTTTATAAACACGCCCAGTGACCGGGAGTGACTCAATTCGCATTAGCGAAGAGTCTCGCTATATAGCTATAATAGTCACTGTTTACCAACCCACATCTCCTCCCCAGAGAGCTCAACTGAAATTAATTTTTCAGGAGCCAATTTATATATATATATATATATATATATATATATATATATATATATAGATGTAGGTATATAGCTCAGAATAATATAGAGTAAATAAATGACAAGACGGAAAACTGTGTAATGAGAATGGACTTTCTTAGACAAAATGGCGGTATTATTTATGGAATTAATTACATATATAAAATAATAAAAAAAATAAAGTGTAAAGAAACAGCTAGACCTTGCCCCTTTAATTTAACAATACCTGTTTTTGCCAAATTTTGGCTGGCTAAATATGCCTTGTATGAATTTAATCAGCTTAAACTCTTGAATATATTAGATAATAAAGAGATGAAAAATATTAGAAGATGAAAGATGTACTTGGTGCTCATTTTGTGGAAGCCTGCACACACACACACACACACACACACACACACACACACGCACACACACACACCATATAAGATGAGATAGATAGATAGATAGATAGATATAGATAGATAGATAGATAGATGATATAAGCGATATATGATTTTGTATAATTTTATATATCAACAAACAATATTTAGAAAAAATGACACAAAAAACCTTTCCAGTTTGTCATATTTTTCTAAATATATATATGTGTGTGTGCGTGTGTAATTGTGTACGTGGGTAGCAATCACTCTTTTATGCAAGTTTTGTTGAAAACGACTGACAACGTTGAGTTTTGTATGTAATTTCTCATGTATTCGTACAATTTTCTTTTTTCAGGACATAAATTATATAAAAATGTTTTCCAAACGCTTTCAGCTCTACTTTTAGCCATTATCAAGGATGGATTTTATTTTACCTTAAACTGAATATATGGATTGTTTTATGTCTGTATAGGACATAATCAGCACATTGTGGCTGTGGTCCATAGTTGTTATTATTGAGTGTTCGTTTTTACTTTTTTATTAATGCTTCCAATTATTTTAACCTTTTTGTATATGTGGATGATGCAATTATATTTGTATTATAAACGAGTATGCTACGTATAGAGTTTGGTATGTGTCCATGTGTATTGAAATGAAAACTAATTGACCTATGGCCAGAGAGATGTAATGTGAGTTGTTAAACATGATGCAGTATATCTAATGTAATTATTTACAAATTTGGGTTGAACAGAAACACAGCTTCTTAAGGGACATGTAAATTTGTAATTAATATCGGTTCTCTGTAATTTGGCCCTTGCAGATATAATGGCTAAAGTATAGCCGAAAGCGTTTGGAAAACATTCGGACAATTTTTATAATTTACGTCCTGAAAAGAGGAAAATTATACGAACACTTGAGAAATTTTATTTAAAAATCCACTACAGCACATTGTGCCAGTCGTTTTCAACGTAACTTGCATATATATGTGTGTGTGTGTGTGTATCGCACATATAGTGCTATTGTTAATACAACAGAGCTAGTAAGTATATATTAATAAATATGCATATTATCCCTCACAGATAGTACGATTCAGAGTTTCATGCACAACGTTATCTTCAGGTGCTCAATATAGACTTGTCGTTATGGAATTTTGATTTTAATCCATCTTTTAATCATAATGTTCAAATTAATAGTTTGAACATTACAATTAAAAGTGGGATTAAATCCTAGCTTATTAAACAAGAGAAATGAATTGATGGATATATGTAGGCATAAAAATTAATATCTGTTCATCCAGACTAATTTTTAATATAAATTTTTAATACAAATTAAGGTTTATTTTTAAGGTAAATTACGGTTTGTTTATATATATATGGACAGTGTGGGACTGGACATATATGCGCATCCTTGTGTCGTTGCCTATCAACCGCAGGCTATCTGAAAACTCATCAAACATAGACATTTTCAATAACAAGAAAACGCCATATGACAAAGCACTAAAAAATTGTGGATACACACAACAATTACAATACACACCTCCACAACCGAAACACAAAATCAGAAGAAGAAATATTATCTGGTTTAACCCACCATACAACAAAACTGTCAAAACAAACATAGGAAGGACATTCGTAAACTTAATAGAAAAACACTTCCCTGAAACAAATCTATTAGCAAAAATATTCAACAAAAATAACGTTAAAATCAGTTACAGCTGCCCCAAAATATAACACAAATAATAAAAAGCCACAACAAAAAAGTAACAACCTGCAATAACGCAACCAAGGAACCTCAATGCAACTGCAGAAATAAAACAACATGTCCTCTCCAAGGAAACTACCAACAAACGAATACAATATATATAGCGCCAAGGTAAGTGCAAACAACAGCACAATGTACTACATCGGGGCCACTGAGGGGCCATTCAAAAAAAGAAAAAACAACCACGACCTTTCATTCTCCGACAGAAAATACTCAAACAGCACTACACTATCCACATACATATGGCATTTAAAAAACAGAAATATTACACCAAGAATAAGCTGAAAAACGCACCTGCCAAACGCAACATTACAAAGAAATGCCTACTTTGCCTACACGAAGAGGTAGCAATAATTTCTCATACCCATACTAAAAATAAGATCAGAAATAATTTCCAAAATGCAAACATGAAACAAATACCTATTATCACAATTTATGCCAAACGGATAAAAAAAAATACCAACCATTACTGCCACACCACAATTAACATTACCGTATCAGTCGACAATTATACTTATTCCCCCAACCAGAAAAATTAATACCACCGCATAAATACTAATAAGCATTATAAATGGTAGTTTATACCATTTACATATGCGCAATCGCCAAAAACATTCAAATAACCGGCTTTAAAATAATAACAAAACAGCATAAAAAAAATAAAAATAATAGCAATTTTACCTACCATAGTCTTACACAGACCCTAGCATATATATATATATATATATATATATATATATATATATATATATATATATATATATATAAACAGACGGATAGAAGATGTGTAAATGCGCGTGCATACATACATACATACATACATACATACGTGTGTGCGAGAAAACATTATTCGGCGAACAAAATAGACGTTCTGCGCGACGACACTGCAATTGACGAAAGATGTTCGCTACACAATCCAACATTGAATTTCGCGACCAATTGCATAGCAAAGACACATGGATGCGCATATATGTCCAGTCCCACATTGTCCATATATGTTTATGTTTGTGTGAGCTCCAGTGAGTGTGCATGCGTGTATGTATGTCTGCGTACGTCAATGAGTGACTGTGCGTATATATATGTCTGCGTACGTATGAGTGGCGTTCCGACGACAATTTTTCCTCCCACTACCATAAAAACACCGACATACGCAACCATATATAAATATAAAAAATTGCATAGTTATATATATACACGTTATATATATATATATATATATATATATATATATATATATATATATGTAGAAGAAAGAAAGAATTATGAAAAGAATATGCAATCTCCCATTAATAATAAAATTATATATATATATATATATATATATATATATATATATATATATATATATATATATACATACACGCAAATCCCGTTTTATTTTAAATGCCAAATATAATTTCTTGAATTAAAAAACTATAATCCCAGTAGAATATGCGCCAACATATACCAGATAACCAGATATATCTTTTAAAATTTAAATTACGTAATGGTTAGTTCAGTCTATACTCAAAACCTGAAGTTTGCGTTGTACATGAAACTCCGAACCGGTGTAGGGTAATACACGCACAAATATATATATATATATATATATATATATATATATATATATATATATATATATATATATATATGAATGAATTATATATATATAAAAGAATAAAAAGGTAAAATGTTGGTAATTGGACATTTGACCAACGGACATTTGGCCGACGGTCATTTAAACGAATGGACATCTAGCCGAAAATGTAGTGGCGGACTAAAATGTATCTTTATTGCAATTTTTTTTATTCTTTTTAGAAAAAGAGTAATGGTGTTGACCTTGTTTTAACATAACGAAACGCTGAGATTGAACGTTCTTCAGCAGAAAATTCCCAATTACATTTCTTCAATATGTGCTACATATATTTATATTTATTTTTTACTGTATTAATTTATAATTTTTCGGTTTTGTTTTTGTTTTTTCTTTTTGACAGGCTTTAATTTAATCACTTAAAATTCAGTGGTAATTGGGTATAATCCACCTAACAATTTGAAAATTGGCATCCTAATCGGAATTATAACAAATTTTGGAATCGTCCAATTATTGATAGGAGGCCCATATTTACCATTCCACTTTCTCCGAGTCTCTAGTAATTTGACACTGAACGAAATAGTTTTTATGAAATATCAAAATAATTTAAATGATTATTTTATTTAAAATATATTATTTTCTGAGAACAATTGCTCACACCAATATATTCATAGTACACAAATGTACAATTATTAGTCTTATTCTACCTTATAATATTGCTAATTAAAATACTTTATTGCTTATTACTATTTTTACTTGTCCTTTTTCGCTGAAATATCCGTCAACCTAGTGTACGTTCGGCCAAATATGTCTCGGCCAAATGTCCGGTCACGAAATTTCAGGAGAAATAAAACAAATGCAGATGACACTTTTAGTATTTACAATTTGGTAGATGCATTTTAGTAGAAGCAGTGTGTTTGATAAAAGAAATTCTGAGCGGTCCTGCACAGCCATCTACCCACAAAATTAACATCGCCTCGAAAATGCGCAGCTCATGGTGTCGACACTATAGAAACAAATATTGTAACAAAAAAGTTGCTGTGACAGCGTTGTTGTCTCCTCTTTAACAGTTGCAGTTTCCGTGAAAATAAGTAGAGGGCATTATTAATAAGTAGTGTCCTTTATGTGTGTGCGCATGTGTGGATATGCTTTGAAGATAGATAGATAGATAGATAGATAGATAGATAGATAGATAGATAGATAGATACGTGTAGGTTCATTAATAACTCCGGTGGCTATTAATGAAAACACATTTACATTATACAAAAAATATTTACTTTTCCACGTAATTTCCTCCATTGTCAATGAGTCCATGAGTTTTTACACTAATTGCATCGATGGGATATTATACAGTAAAAATTTCAGATCAATATCCATCTAATAAATCTCTCACGCCACAGTCTTATTGATCCAATCGCACGCACGCATCACACACACACACACACATATATATATATATATATATATATATATATATATATATATATATATATATATATATATATAAAGAATTATTGTTTTGGTGTGAATAAATATTTTTATACAATGATGAATGTTTTAACTTGTTTTTGCTACACTAAATGTAAAAAGATTTCTGTTGTGTGGCATCCATATATTTTATTTAACAAAAACGAATTGCATTTATTTTAATTGATTGTCTGCTTCTTTAAGGAAACAGCAAAAAACAAATGAGAGCAAGGAAGTGATGATAAATGAAGCCTAAAAACAATCAAAGACTGACAAAATAATTTAAAGAGAAGGAAACCTGAAAATGGAATAGATATTTTAAAATGAGGAATGAACAAGCAAAGCAAAAGGAATGAAAGTAAAAGGGATTCTGAAGAATATTATTTGAAAAATTGTTAGTATAAAAGGTAGAAGGATAAAGTTGAAATAAAGGAAAGTCTTTCTGAATGGTTGGAAAAAAGAAAAGAAGAAGGAAAACGAACATAGGACAATGTGTGTCTGGAAGGAAAAGGAAGAAAAGAAGAAAGAAAACGAACATAGGACAATGTGTGTCGGGAAGGAAAAGGAAGAAAAGAAGAAAGAAAACGAACATAGGACAATGTGTGTCGGGAAGGAAAAGGAAGAAAAGAAGAAAGAAAACGAACATAGGACAATGTGTGTCGGGAAGGAAAAGGAAGAAAAGAAGAAAGAAAACGAAATAGGAAATGTGTGTCGGGAAGGAAAAGAAAAAAGAAAAAGAAAACGAACATAGGACAATGTGTCGGGAAGGAAAAGGAAGAAAAGAAGAAAGAAAACGAACATAGGACAATGTGTGTCGGGAAGGAAAAAGGAAGAAAAGAAGAAAGAAAACGAAGGAAATGTGTGTCGGAAGGAAAAGGAAGAAAAGAAGAAAGAAAACGAACATAGGACAATGTGTGTCGGGAAGGAAAAGGAAGAAAAGAAGAAAGAAAACGAACATAGGACAATGTGTGTCGGGAAGGAAAAGGAAGAAAAGAAGAAAGAAAACGAACATAGGACAATGGAAGGAAAAGAAGAAAAGTAGAAAAAACGAACATAGGACAAATGTGTCGGGAAGGAAAAGGAAAAAAGAAGAAAAAACGAACATAGGACAATGTGTGTCGGGAAGGAAAAGGAAAAAAGAAGAAAAGAAAACGAACATAGGACAAATGTGTCGGGAAGGAAAAGGAAGAAAAGAAGAAAGAAAAGAAAATCTGTGTCAAAGGAAAGGAAGAAAAGAAGAAGTAAAAAATGAACGTAGTAAAATGTGTGAAGGAAGGAAAGAAAAGAAAAGAAAGAAAATGAACATAAGAAAATGTGTGTGGGAAAGGGGAAGGAAGAAAAATATAAGGAAAACGAACGTAGGAAAATGTGTTTTGGGAAGGAAATGGAAAAAAAGAAGGAAGGGAACGAAGGTAGGAAAATGTGTGTTGGGAAGGGACGGGAATAAAAATTGAACAACAATTCAAGCGATAAACAAGATATCGTGGAAATAAATATGTATGATAGAGGTTCACACTAACAAAGGCCAATTGAACGAATAGAAAATAAATGAACGAAAAAATAGCAAAATAATTCAAATTCTTTTGTGAAGAGCAAAGCTGACCTTCGTCGGTAAAACTATCATGAATGTTGGTTTTTCGTCCGAAACGAATTGAAAGTCCCATCACCATAAGATCAGTAGCAAAAGAATAGCGACTACAGAATGGAGTTGGTGGGTGAACTAGAGGAAGAAAAACTTTAAAAGGATAGATTGTTGCAAAAATAAAAAGGATAAAAGAGAAGTGAATACAAAGTAAAAATTGAAGAAAAAAAGATTCCTGTGGAAATGGGAATGAAAAATGGAAGCAAAACAAAATGTTTGATTTTGCAATGAGTTCTCATTGCAAAATCAAACATTTTGTTTTGCTTCCCTTTCTAAAAGTAAAAAAAAAAGAAAATTACAAGAAGATATAAAATATTTTTAAACAATGACAGTGGCAAGAATGACATTCGAAAGAAAATAGAAGGAAAAAGAATGAAAGAAACAACTGTGAATGAAAAGGAGGAAGGAAAATATCTAGAAAAAATCTTGTGAAAGAATGAGAGAAAGTTGTCGTAAGTGAAAGTGTTAACCCAAAATAATTAAGTAGAATAAAATAAATTGAAAAAAAAGTAACTTTGTCACCCGCGTAGCTTTTGTTCTGTTCTTCTGAATTGAAGATTCACATCACGAATATTTTTTATTTGTTTGCAAACGAAATAAAGGCGATCTAAGACATGCGAATATTTGGTCCGTAGTTTTTAATAAAAAATCGATAACTCGATACATTTTGATTCGTAGTTGAAATGCAGCGCCTCTGTTTATTTTTCAGGAGCGTTCCTCAGGCATAAATTTAGTATTTGTTTTATTTTCTTTTGGTGGGGGGGGGATTCTGCTGTTTTTAGATATTATTTATTCTTTTAAAAATGATTTCTTCACTGCGGGACTGAAACAATCACGTACATGTTTAATCAGAAAAGAAGGCCAGATATTCAAAGTACCCACTACCTACAAAAAGTAAAAGATTGTATGAGTTCCTATATAAGATTAGCAAATATACAAACACTTCTGCGTGTGTGTGTGTGTGTGTGTGTGTGTGTGTGTGTGTGTGTGTGTGTGTGTGTGTGCGTGCGCGTGCGTGTGTGTGTGTGTGTGTGCGTGCGCGTGCGTGCGTGTGTGTGTGTGTGTGTGTGTGTGTGTGTGTGTGTGTGTGTGTGTGTGTGTGTGTGTGTGTGTGTGTGTGTGTGTGTGGAAAAGCTTCGACACGCGACGCGTTCCAGCTGCTTCTGCTAGGCGTCTTCATGCCGAGTCTATGGAAATGCGTTGGAATCTTTGATGAAGGGGTAATAAATAACCTTATCAGATGCTACGACTAGAAAACGTCTGCTGGATTTTAAAGTATCCCACTCCGAATAGATTTCTGTTTTTTCTTTCTTATTTTGTATACCGCATTGTGCTATCATTGCTTTTACAATAATCGGTGATATTATATATGAGGTTAGTCTGAGATTTACCGTAAAGAAATGCGATATCATCGCACTTTCAATGCTTCTACTGAATTCTTTTCCCTTCTATTCAGTCAGGTATTTATTAGATCGAAATTGTGGTCAGATGTGTTACTGTGAACTTGTAGTGTCCTTTAAAATGTACAATACATCCTTGCAATGCTCATATTGTCTTTATTTTGGGTGGTTTCGAAGTGTTTCATCAATTGTATGTATGTCTACATAACTAGGCATGTACAATTATTTTAGATATACCTGTCTCTGTTTAGATCAATTACGACTGAGTAGTGAGTTCGATCCTCACTGGGTGACCTATACTTTCGACCTTGTGCCACATCTAAGCTCTGCTTAGAAAATCACCACATGCCTCTGTTTTATTGTTGTTGCTATTCTGGTGTCGACTATAGTTTTTTTTTGTTTTCGACGTGATATTTATGAATTTTAGATCAAGGTTGGATAATTTATTTTCGACGTTAGCTATTGTGAAGCTGGTAGAAATATTTGCCTAATTTTATCATGGCTGTTGGGATTATTATCTGTGAAATTGTCTATTTTTCTTTTGTGAATTTTGTAAGCTTTGCGTTTAGCTTTATACAGGAAATACTTTTAGTATTGGAGGAGTTTGAAAGTGTTTCAATGTATTTTGCTTCCTTGCGCAGAAATTAGAATCATAGATTCTAAGAGTTCGTAAAAACCTATGATTACTCTGGATTTTATCTTATTGTTGCGATGTGAGTAGAAGTGTATCAGGTCGTTGAAAGGAGCCGAAAGCCTATCTTCTATATATCACGATATTTTGCTTCTAAAAGTTATAGTTGAGTTTTTATGTATTAGCTACAAACTTACATCCTCCCACAGTTCAATAATTTATTGTTCTGTTGAAGCAACATCCAAAACAAAAGGTGCAATGACATCGATTAGAAAATTATTCACAAGAAATTCACTTCTTGGCTTTAATTTACTTAGATTTCCCAAACCTGCTCTCAAAATCATCATAAAATGTTTTCTTCATACTGCTTCATTTTACTGGCTTTGATTTGATCTTCTGGAAAACCATTTACTCTCAATTTGAAATTGGAAAACAGGTCAACTTTCATTCCTGCCTCATTTTTTAATCAGGAATCTCAAATCTGGCTGATTTTTCCTTTACAGTTTAAATATTCGAAGTGCTGGCTTACGTCTGTCAAGAATACTATTTAATTGTTGGGATCACTTCTTCTTTTTTTCATAAAAGCAATGATTGGTTCTAAAAGATAGACACAATTATTTAAAAGATTCCTACTTTACAGCCATTTTACAATGCATTAGAATGAAAGGTTACTTGTCTTTTCTTCCATTTTCAACTTCACAATAAAGTTACTAAATGCACTTAAGAAGTTTATGACAACATTTTTCATGATCTCCTTTAATCTTATGGAGTGCAGTAATTCTTCCTTTACATTTCCACTGTTTTCTACTTTTTCCTCGTGAACTAATAAAACTAATCAAAGGAAATCTTGAATATCTTTAAACTCATCCTATGTTAAACCGGAAGTAAGACAGTATTTCAGACCGTGCAGCGAACACGTGATTTTAGCACAAATATCGGAATTATGTCTATCGCTTTATATGGCGCTTTATACGTTTGTTTTATTGCTTTTCGAAGTTTATCTTCTCTCAAGCGAGAATTGCAATAACTAATATTCTTCTTCACATATTCCCCATGATTGTAAGGAGGATGAATTCAAGCAATATTCCAAGCAATGACTTCACTCGTCATACCACTGCTTACAATGACAGAACTAAGACGAAGATAACTTCTATATGTTTTTTTCTTTATTTCTTCGCAGTTCGAAATAACGATGAGATTCGGATAACGTCTTAAATTCCTGGCTTTAAAGTAGCTGAAATATCTGTTTGAGAGTTTAAAACATTCAAACTTTATGATATACCAACTTTTCACCATTAACAGGAATGGCAAAATTATCTTCCGATTATTATTTAAAAACTATTTTCTTTTCTTATTTCCGTTTTTCACTCTTTTCTTGCTCAGTCAAACAAGGGACTTTATAACTTTAACTTGTGCAACTGAAAAATTACTCACTGCTACCACTGTAAATCACATCTTAATCAAGAAAAGTGTCATTTTTAAAACTTATTTAACTAGGTACCTCCGGTCAAGTTTTCGATACCTAAGGTTTAAAATGAATTATTTTAGCTTTAATTGAAAGCTAAAGCATTAAATTTATTATTTACAGTAAGTAAAATATTTTGGTGTATTTCAGATAGAAATTATATAGATTGAAATATCAAATATATGCTCGATTTTTTTAATTTTCTTAAAAGTGGATATTTTCTTAAATTTTAAGAAATTTGTAAACAAAAAGATTTTCGATTTTAAACTTCTTCCTAAAATAAATTATATATTTTTGACACGTTATTTGAGTAAATTTAGAAAAATTTTAAGAAAATTTAATCTGATTTGAAACAAACATTACATACTTATAACGTAAAAACATTGTATCCAAACATTTCTTAACGATGTGTCTGAATTTTCTCATGACGTTATCGGTGTTATTCAGAACTTACGAGATGATGACAGCTACTATGGATGACCAAAACTGACATAATTTTACGAAATGTAAGCGAATGCGATTTTTGGTTTTTAACTAGTAATTTTTAAATATTAACATTTATTCAGCAATTATGTAATATTTAGTGAAAAAGTAATTAACAAAAATTAAAACTTACTTTGAAATTTTTAAAGGACTTTTTGAAAACACGTTAACGATGTGAAACAAAACTGGATATTGAGGAGAAATAATTGCAGTGCGGCAGACGACTCAAATCACGTGACCTTTTTAAGGATTATGCCATAGGTAGAAATTAGAAACGTTTTTTTTTTCACTAAAAATTTATTTTTAAAATTATTTTTAAAATATTCGGATTCAAACGACTGTTATGAGCTTTTCAAATTTCGATTCGTAAATTTACTTTTCACTTAACAATATCATCAAATTGTATCCTTCATTTCTTTTAGAAATGAAGGATTTTTAAATGATTTTTTAACTATAATTATATTATATTATTATAATTAAAATTTTTAAAAAAATGAAAAAATTTCTTATAAAAATACATTATTCATCGAAAAATTTTTATTTCTTCAGACAATAATGCCCTTAATATAACTTATTTACAAAAGCAAGTAGAAGCTTTTCTAATTAAATAATGTCATAGTTTTTTTGCATTTTTTCAGAGCAGATTTTCGATGAAACAGGTAACTGTTTTACAAAAACAAACAAAAAAATCTGGTAATTTACTTTCTCTAAACTAATAAAAAATCCCACTCTTAAAAATTTAATTTCTCGAAATTTCATGAAAATATGTAAGGGGGTGGAAACATGTAAAAAAAAATATTTTTTACCAAGATTTTCTAAAAAAAATTTCAAAAATAATTTCATTCATTTCTCAATATACCCTGAAAGTTTCATTAAAATCCTACAATTATTTGAATTTTGCAAGAATTTCCAAATCAATGTGTGTTTTCCTCGGGAAAAGCGCAAAATAAAACAAATCTTTTTTCTCTTTTCGACCGCTGTCGTAAAAAAAAAAAAAAAAATTTTTAACCAAAATTTTGAACGTGCTAGAAAGGAGTAAAAATTTCTAACCACCCAAGGTGACAAGCCAGAACCCAAAAAAACGAACAGCATATTTCTTGTCTACACTCGTCGGTTTATTTTTTGAGTTTCTCCCCTCTGCAGGAAAACAACTTCATAGGCTAATATTATTTTGGGAGCCGCGTACATATCATCTTTGGAAATTGCTTACAGCTCGTGAGCCGCTGTTCACCGACCGTTGAAAGAAATGGAAGGAGGATGACATGCATAGTTATATGTAGAGAAAGAAACACAGAGAAAACAGAAATAAAAAGAAAACAATGCAAAACTCAGTGAATTTATAGCCTTCAAAACTTTCGGCAGCATGTAAAATCAATAGCCATGACGTTTTCAGCTAAGATCTTTATTAACACTCACAAAATCGCTCTCTTTGATAACTGCACACACAGAGATGCATATGTTATGTATATATATAAAATGATAGAGAAAGAGATGAACGTGAATAAATAGAATATATGTGTGTGCGCGCGTGCGTGTGTGTGTGTGCGTGCGTATTAGTGGCGACTCTAGTTTATCGGTGCAAAACTGAGTACAATATTTTTTTTAAATTAGTTATTCTTGATTTATGATATATTCAGTGAAAGAAATTAAGCATCTAATTGCAAATCTAATCTAACGATATTTGAAGAAATTATAATATAGCGAGATTACTCGACAACGGCCATTTCCCGAATACCAACCTGATTATTTCCCTTTTTCTGTAAACACCGAATGGTTTGCTAGTTACCTGACCCATTTTTAACATGCTGTCTCGTATTTTACTTAAAAAGAAAACAATTAAGTCAAAAAATTTTCAATGGCTTAGTTTAATATTTTGAGTATTTTGGTTAACAACCAATTATTATTTAACAAACAAAATGCAGTGCGCTGTAATTACTATAATTATCTGTTGTGGTGTGGACTATTACAAAGAAAATACCTTCTTTAATTTTCAATATATGTCTATTATAAAATCATCTGAATGGCTTATCCATAGTAAAATTAGTAATGCATTTATAGGGATCGGCACTGTACTCGTACATTCAAAGTAAAAATGCTAATATGTGTATAAAAAATAAACGCTTAATTTATTTAAATATTAATTTCAAGCCTTTTCCTTTAATATGTTGTTGTAATTCTTTTTTTTTTTTCTCCTAAATCAGCAAATATGTTTTTAAATGGAAATGCAAGCTCACGATCCATTGGGCCGTTTTGTGAATGATCGAATTTTGTCCACTGTTGAGAATTCGTTTCTGAATTTGCAGATTTAGTTAGGAAAAGTTGTATGAGTTTAACAGTTTCAGGCGTAACAATCAGTTTATGAAGTAACTCTACAATGGTATTGCTTCCCTTGCACTTTTTAAAGTCATTGCTATCATACAAATACCTGAACTCATTTACTAAATATTTGTGATCAAACATAGTGTATTTGTTTCTATATATTACATAAGGAATGTATGTATAAACATATCTAAGTTATTCTAAATATAAATATTCCTCAATCGTTCTTTCAGTAACAGTAAAATGTTCTGAACTATTTCAATTCTTTTTTTTTTTTTTTTTACAGCGGGATTCACTCTTTACAAGGCTCGGAGCCACTCAATATAGAGGATCGCGTTTGGAGGCCATTTGTGTGCGTGGGAGTGGAAGATAGCGGTTAGTCCTGGCCTTGAACAGCTTAAGATTGTCGTGATCGGGGAGATATCCTGTTGGGAGTCGGTTCCAAGCTTCTCGAGTGGAACTTACTTCTCACCAATGGAATACGAGGGGGGATGTGGGTGGTTTGCTATTATGTAAGTGACATATCGTGTTCTTGCTGTGAAAGTTTTGCCTTGGCAGTTCCAGACAATGTAGTTCGTCCGAGCACTTTCCATGGAAGTAGCGGTAGATGTGCGAGAGGCTTTCTAGATCCTGCCTGTGGAAGAGAGATTGGAGGGTGGAGAATAATTCGTCACCCACAAGGTCTCGGAGACGCTTTTGAACTCTATCAAAGCTGGAGAGAGAGAGAGAGAGAGAGAGAGAGAGAGAGAGAGAGAGATCTAGACAGCACCCGCCCAAATATGACAACAGTACTACATTTTGAGGTTGATCTAGTTCTTGTAAAGGTAGATGATAGCAGGAGGAGTCAGATACTTACTGGGGCGGTACAGGGATCCAACCATTAGCAATGGATCATATGTACAAGTTCCACTTCAGGTCGGGTGTGAGTTTGAGGCCCAACAGGCTTTCAAGGCAAGGTGCTTCCCCAAGAGGACATCCATTCACCCTGATTGGTGGTAGTTTGGGCTTAGATCGGAGCTAGCTTTGTCTTCGAGGCATTTAATGTAACTAGCCAGTTTTTACCCCATTGTGTAGTTTGGGCAAGATCGGAAGAGTGATCAGACGCCAATCTCTGTCCCTCGGTAATTTCAGAGGTGCGTTCGTATATAGTCGTATCATCGGCATAGATGTTTACAGATGATCAGAGTATATTCTTAGGCAGGTCATTTATGAAGACCAAAAAGAGGGTTGGTCCGTGGAGTGACCCCTGCGTTGACCCTTAGGGCTCCAGAGAACTGTCCATTGATAATTACCTTCATGGACCTAACTGTTAGGAAGGATTTTATGATCGAGAAGACTCTTCTGGTGATTCCCTAACTGGATAGCTTGTGTAGTCGGCCTTTGTGCCACATCTTGTCAAAGACCTTCGAGATATCTAGTGCTAATGGCACTCGAGGTGTGTTTAGCGTCAAGAACCTCACTGATTCTCTGAGTGATGCTAGGTTAGGACGTCGATATCGATTGATGTTTCATTTGCTGTCCCCTGATTCTTTCTGTGAGATGAAGATTTGAATCTTTTAATTATTCAATGCCTGTCATTGTTTCTTGGACAATGTTTTCATAATGTTCATTATTATAACAATTTTGAGCATATTGAATAAAATCGCTTATTTTATTCTAAGCAGACTTCAATTAAAGCTGCTTACATTGTATAATATCAAATAGTTTCCAAAATTGTGACAGTATATAAAAAGCATGAACGTCATCTAATTTTAGTATTTTTTTAATATTTTTTTTAGTATATTATCAATTTAACTGAGTGTATCTATATTCCTGCTTTAATTATTGAGGAAAATATTATGAAATGTACTTTCAAAGTTTTAATGAAACTCTTTTATAGCTGACTCAGTTCTGGATCTATAGCACCACCTTGTGTCGCTCACTAATGAATGCTGATATTAAAGTCTCTAAAGACATTTTCCGCTTTGTACTCGAAGATAAAAATTTGCTAAAGCTCTGTAAACGCGAAACAATATTTTAAACTTTCTCCTTGTTTATTTCGATCGCCCACCAGCTGTTCAATCATATGTTGAGCAAACGAATTTAGTTTTAGTAATGAAAGAGTCTTTATAACATCAGTCAAACGCAATGGACATTTATCATCATTTACATCATAAAATCCTAAAAATATTTCATTTATTTTGCATCCAGTTACATATCTGACAATAATAGTGTTGGGCATACATTATACATTCAATAGTTTCATCTTGTACACCGTACTTTCAACTCCAAATCCAATTAAATCAGTTATTAAACTATCAATTTCAAATATAGTATATTTTTTGTATTGTACTTGAAAGTAAAAAAAAATGCTTCGATTTTACTTTAGTAGAACATTTTGAAGCAAATATGCTATCTATATAATCGAATAACTCACGATAATTAGGTTATTAAAGAAATCTTTTCCTTCATCATGTCCACCCATTGGCAGTTTTTGTTTGCAAAGATATTGCATTTTTTACTAAATGTTTTAATTATCCTTCAGCGAATTGTTACCCCACTCCTTTTTTAGCTTTGTAGACTCGTTAAAAGCAGTTACGAGACGTCTTTAAACATGTTCAATTATTTGAATTACACATAAATTTAGAATAACGCTTGCAGTCACTTAGAATATGTTTATAATTAAACTGACTTGATTTAGAATGAAAAACCAATCATGTTCAACAATATAGTTTTTCTTCTGATGCACTTGCGCAAATCGTTCTGTGCATACCATTTGATTTGAAAAGAAAAGGGTACCTACTTTGGTTTTCAATAAAGGAGTAGATCGCCCTAACTTGATAATTTGTAACTTTTCAACAATATACCGCTACGCAAATGATTTATCTTTTACTTCTTACACTGTGGGAAATTTGTCCTGGCTTTCCCACTTGAAAGGGTTATGGCAAAAGGTGACAGAATCGATAAAGGCAACAATGGCTTGAAAGTTTAGAGCGGGCAATTCTCTATTTTAGGCGGAAAAATAAAGGCTGAAAATCCTGCTCGTGGTGTAACAATAGAAAAAGAAAATGTTTATTTACATACACAAAAAAGGTAAAGTGATATATACAAAATAAGAGTGAAAGGAAGGGAGAAGAAAATTCCTTTAAGTTAAAGGAAGAAATAGTGTTCCTGTAAAGACTTGCTTAAAAATATTTCTCCAGGTGCCTAAAAGTTCTTTAAGCAAGTAAATTGTTCTTAAGGGGTTAACACTCACATAAGATCCTTCAAAGCTATTATTGAGGAGGAAATAATGGGAAAATCAGTAGAAACAAAAATCCCAGCGTTACATAACTATATGAAGGAAAGTCACAATTTTTGTGTTTCTGGTTATGATGAAAAGTCACACTAGCTTTCTTAATCAAAATAACAGTCACTAGTCAAGAAAGGAAAATGACTAATCATTTAATATTTAAAATAAAGTGTTTGTTCTTGTTATTTTGTATGTATCATCTTGACTAAATATTATTTTGCAGGATTAGTTAATTTAGTATTTAGCTTTGATGAAACATTCCAAGTAAATTTATTTATTAATTGTTATGGGACCTTACCCATAATAACATAATGGACTATTCCATACGTAATAAATACAGCGCCTCAAGAGGAAGCAGGGAGTTCAGCCCGAAGTCGGGCGACCGGCTGACCGGCTGATCGGTTGAACTCTCTGCCTTCGGGCGGGAAGGAACCCGAACGAGGCTACGCCGAAGGGCGGAGTCTCTTTCGGGGAGGTAAACCGACCCTGAACCCATTTATACGGGTTCAAAGGGCATATTTTTGGCCGAGTCCACGGGCTCGGAGATCCCACGTTAAACCGGCCTTGTGCCACATGATGCTCTCGTGGCGGGGTGACTAAATACTGTTCAGTCTGAAGTCTGGAGTGAAGTCCGTCGCGTTCAAACAATTACTACAAGATATTGGAATAGTGATACTGGTCGAGACTACATTGTTCTCCCTACTAAACCTGATTGTTCGTACTAACACTTTCTACTTCTCTGTATATATTCCTGTTTGTAATATATCTGTGTTATTCCATATCCGTGTTCGAGTTCTTCTTATTTGGTTCTACCTTGGACTATCACCGTGGTACAAGGAACCGGACCATAACATTAATAAAATATAAATAATAGTTGAATTCATTTAATTGATAATAAAAAGAAAATAAATATTTTAATAAAGTTACTAAAATCATAATTTATTACATTGTTATTTCTTATCCATGAAATATAGTTGACATTTTGTTGATTTTTTTTTGTTTTAACATTACAGAGAATGTTGATGAAAGTATGTCACAATTTTTATTCCCATAAATCCCCACATTGATTGCCTAAATACATGAATGAAGACGGAAAACAGTAGTTTACTTTTAACGCTATTTAGTAAATGATGTTTACTGTACAAGCTTTGTTTAATTGTTAGGATAAATACCCCGAGTCCTTGTTATATTGTGTTCAGACAGCAACATTATTATGAAGCATAAATTTAAGCCAACATTTAAAGTTATGAAAAATAATTAATTAAAACAGCTCAATAATTCGAACCGTCAGCCTCACTTATTAAAAGTCAAGAACGAACAAACTTTCTGATACATTGCTTATTGCTTTGTAATAGATTTGACAGCTGGGTTATTTGTGCCTAACTTGAATAGCCTGGAGTGCTGGAGTCCTCACTGATTACACACACATTCACAACACCCCTTACCCCATATATATATTTTTTATATAATTTTCATTAAAAACGATCGACAGGGTACCGTCATTAAGTTTTATATTTAATTTTTCTTATGTTCTTATAATTTTCTTCTTTTCAGGACGTAAATTATGGAGAAAATTTTCCAGATGTTTGTATGTCTACTGTGAACACGGACACAATGTGCTGACCGAGTTTGGAAAATAAAACATTCCTATAACACTAGCTACTTACATAAACCATGCATACATTCAGTTAAAAGTAAAAATAAATTCATCCTAGATAATGAGAAAATGTGTAGCCCTGAGCGCTTGTACATCCAAAACATCTGGAAAAATTCTACAAATTTACCTTCTGAAAAGAATAAAATTATAAGTACACAAGAAAAATTAAATAAAAACTTTATATATATATATATATATATAAATATATATATATATATATATATATATTCAAAAACGCATTTTATGTCTGTTTTTTCTCATATTTGACGAAGTGAAAACAGACAAATTTTTTTGTCTGATACAATAATTTCAGTCAGTTACGTGTCATGCGTGATACACGCTTAGGCGATCATGTATCTTTCAATACATAACTGACGAGGCAGATTTTTTCCAGCAGTAGATTACCATTTTTTTCTGAAGTAGACCAGTTGCCATCCAAGGCTACAGAAACCAGTCTGACCTGCTGAGGGTAGAAGAAGGTATAAGCACGTAGCTCTCCGATTCCTCAATCCGAACCGCTTTCCATTACTTCGCCACATCTCCTCTACGTCTTCAATATGTTCTTTATCTTATTATCCTATCGGGTTCCAATATATATTTAGCATGCATTTCTACTTTAATTCATATATATATATATATATATATATATATAAAAAACTCAAACAGTAATATTCCATGTTTATAATTTGGAATCGTAATCCCGATCCAATTCATCAGACCTACAAATTCAAAAAGAAATCGGAAAATATAACACCGAGTATAAAAAACAAAATTCTAGTGAGAGTGTATGTGTGGGAGTGAGAAACAAGCGTGAAAGTGAAATGGATGAA